GATTGCTTGTGTTGTCAGGTGAAAACCACACCTGATGATGTTTTATATTTGTATTATTGTATTGTTTCCCTTCTACGTGACTTTACCGAAAGAACCAAGAATATTAATCCCTGCAGTCACGAAAGCTTTAAATCAAAATGTAAACCTGTTACAAAACGGGTAAATCCTTTTTGTCCAACACTGATATTTAAAAACCCAAACGTGATAGTTCTCGGTAAGCAGTGGTGCATACGCACAAATTTAAAAAACGCAACACATTCATCAATAACTTTGCCTTCAGGGGAAAGATAAAACATTACTGCATATGTAATAATAACAGGCACTTTTTGGGAAATTCATAGCAGTAGTGCAATGAAGGACCATTTCCACAAAAGTTGCCAATTACAGTATTATTTGGATTATAAGATACACTATACTCCCTTTCCCCGCCCCCTGTATTTTACAGCAAAGTAACCTTATGGCGGGACCCTGGTGTCCCGAATAAACGGAAGTCAAAATCGTGATTAATGAATTATTTTGCCGACTCCGTCCCACCGCACACGTAAACGCCGCGACCCACCTGGCACAGATCATTCTGTTGTCATTGTCGTCCAAGCGCAGCAGTGAGGACGAATGCGCAGAAGCGCTGAACAAGCGAATGCACTCCACGCTCGGGTATGGGCAGGATCACAAGTCTTATCCAAAGCTGCTCAAACTGCCTCCACGACTTAAGTCCTTTATTTGTCATAACGATATGAATAATACAGTGAAACTGCTCTCTTACCTTCATTATTATTTGTGACCTACGAATGTCTGCAGCCAGGCTCAATCGATGACAATCCTATTACCTGTTTGATAGTACTTCTCTTGTCCATATGCATCTGTGCAGATAGGGTTTTTTGCGGTTAAGCCATAGTCCCCACATACCGCTCGTATTAATGCGGATAAGAGGAGCGGCAGACCCACTACTCTGTAGAGTAACATTGGTATAAACGCTTGTTACAATATGAACAGCGCGTTGAAAACGCGTACTATTTTATGTACTGTTTTACAAAGTGTGGTCACAAATCCACACTGAGAAACACGATTGACAGAGGGGTGTTAAGATTTTTGTTCGACAGCGTATTTAAATAGAGGTACTGCAGGTAAGTAGTTTTCAGTTATAAAGGCATAGTTTAACAAGACAACCCATGTCACCATCCTTCAAACCCATTGGTGAAAAAGAGCAAAGTTTTTGTTTACATATCAATATGTTTATGCGCGAGCCGGGGGCTTATGGGACCCCGGGGTCCCACCATAAGGTTGAAATGTTGGGTGGGCGTCTAATAATAATCCATTGTGTGTGTGACCAGATTTGTGACTTGACACGAGACACACGGTGTGTGGGGGGGGGGTCTTACTTTCTTTTAACCTCGAGAATACCATGCCGACCGACGTATATCCTTTTTGTGGCAGTGCTATTGACGAATGTGTTGAGGTCTAATTGATGGTTTAAGTGGGAGGAATCTACTTTACCAGATATGCGACGTCAATTGTTATGCAAATACGGGGCATTTCTATAACATCTATATATGTATTATATATAGATGTTAAGAAATGCCATACCATATATTTCCCGTAAGTTTATTTAAAATTCATACACTGGGTTACCCCAGGAAGTCACTCCTTTGAAAGCGTTCCAAGTGGTGACACACTGCCCGTGGCAGCTACTCGCCGCCAGTTAAAGAGCATCTCATGGGTAAATCTCGTAGTCTGCAACTCCCGGGGCTGGAAAACACAAATACATCACCACCAACTCCCCCTCCTCAAAACCCCCATATCCACGTGGGAGCACAAGGCCGAGTGCGGGGTACATGACGCTAACATTGAATGCACACGGTAGTTAAGCCTCATTACATCAAGCCCCGAGGAGGAGCGGTGGGACAGTGATTCACGCACTGGTACTATTCACCCGGCAACCCGCACTCACCCGCGCTGTGAAGCACTGATCGACAAGGCGTTGGATTAAGACCATCATCCAGCAGTTGATTGCCCATGGCGCTCAGTATGTATATTAGTATAGCAAACCCAGCCTTTATTGTTCTATACTGGGATGTGATGTTATGTTGAAATGCATACACGAATACCGCCGCATCACCATGGGCACATTTAAGATGGGTCACGGTCGAGTGCCAATGCAGCAACGCAAAGGAGTCAGATTTAGTCGTTGTTCAGGCACCGCGGTGGCAAGATGTGAATTATCTCTCTTGGTATACAGAGAGTCGTGGGTTCGATCCCGACCCTGACGGCTGCTGTTTTTCCCTCCAATTTAGAATCAACGTGCGTTTAGCGTATTTGGCTGCAATATATTGCCACATGATAAACCACTTCATTGGGCTATCATTTGTGGCCAGGTTGCTTCTAAAAAGAGCTTTATATGTCAGTTGGCCTTACCTGGTAAAATAAAATAAAAAGTTTAGTTTTTAGTTTAGGGTGGACAAGTCCAGTAGAGGGCGCATAAGTCAAGATATCAATTATAGAACAAGTGCAGGTCAGCTGCGGTACACCTTTAACTTTATTCGAAGTAAAAAAATACCTTATGAGCTGTTACTGGGGGTAAAAGGCACAGTGATTAAAGTAACCATGCATTAACGTGCAGTCCTTGGAAACATACGGCTACTAAATATCCTTACTCCATAAAGCTAGCCCAACACTTTACAGATAATAGACACTCCTACAATAATGCTCATTTGGGTCTTTGTGGAGAATGGGTAACAGTTTTAGAAAACGTTTATAAAAAGATCAATATTTGACCAAAAAGGCGACTCGTTACGATAGAGGAAACACACAATTAAAGCACGATTTTGGACTTAAAACTAAAACGGAACCAGTGCACACGACAAATCAAGGTCCTCATCCCACATTTTTTGACATCTAATCAAATTGTACTTGCCCGAAACGTTAGCTTAATTTAACATTTCAGTTAAAATCCAGTGGCAGTCTTAATACAATTGTTTCAGTATAAATGAGTGACCCGTGTCGCTGAAACGGTCCGGAGATCTTACAGTAAGTTTCGTGCAGTAGCTTCAGCAACCGATCTTTCTCACTCCTTTCATTGAGAATTCCGGCTCGATATTAAGAACAAATCTATATAAAACAAAACTGCAGTTTACTGTTCGCAACACTACACCCTGTCAATGCATGCGTCATAACGGCAAAATAGTTTCGATAGCGATTAACATTTTTTTTTCCGTGTGGTTTCCTCTAAAAGGGCAAACCCCGTGGAAGGGGGAATTCGAAATCGTCCCGCCCCACGTGGCTGGGGGGGGTTGGGGCCGCCCTGCGGGCGCCGGGGGCTGCCCTAGGGGCTGAGTCGCTACTCCTGGGGATCAGGGATCGGTCGTTCCGCTCGCAAACTCCGCCTGCAGCTCCTGCTGCTATGGCTGCTGCCGTCAGGCCATGCGTGCCAAACATGTAGCCTGTGACGCGGCCTGCCAGACACTCCGGGAGATCCACCGCGACCTCTCGGCACACGCTGTTGTTGTGTGAGTACAACACAACACACACTCTCACCACCGCTCCCGTCTGCGCGCGTGGCCCTGTGCCGTGTATTGTCGTGGAGGCATTTGGTTACGATGTACTTTGCTAAGCGTGGGGGCGAGGCGCGGCACGGATGCGACTTAACGCGTGAACACTGGCCAAGCGTCTACGGGACCGGCGGGGAGTTAAAGATGAGAACGTCTTCCCGGCGTCGAGCGCTGCACCGATGTGGGGGGTGGTGGGGGGAGGTGGTAGTGGTTTTCGTGGCAATGCAGGTGGACTAACCGGGGGTCCCCGTGACACCTGGCGTCTATTAAAAGCCCTCCAGCTGTCCCTACCTCTGACCGCCCCCTCCTCCCCAAAGTCGCAGGTGTTCTACACTAAGAAGGCAATCGCCTGGTGCCACACTTCGATACGCCCTTCGCACCCCCTCCCCCCCAAACGCGTACAGGTGAGCGCCGGAGAGAGGTGGTGCAGCACAGGTAGACAAGGCCCTGCGCTACGGCTCCTAACGATTGCGACGTAGCAGGGAGGAGGAGGAGGAAGGGGGGTCATACGGCATTGCATGGTGTAACGCTGTTGATGTTGGAGTCCTCAAAGCAGACGACTCCTTCACGCTGTTGTAGTGACTCGTGGAAGATTGTCGTTGTTGTTTTTTTGTTTGTTAAAGACTTTTAGCGAAGAGGATCCTGCATTGAGATTCCTGGCCCGAATTACCAAGTGCGTTCGTGCATGCGTAGTGTAAAAAAAATGTACACGTACTGGTTAGTGTTAACACGCACAATATGCTGCCCTGCAGTGTGTACACATGGGCAGCTCCGTGTAAGATGTACGGTATGCGCAATACCGTACGCACATATATACACAATACACCGTATGCTTGGAAGTTAGGTAGAAATGTCAGATATGGCGAATATAAAGTTGCTTTACATTATCCTTCAATGCACTGCGTGTCACATTCTGTACACGTTTAAATGCACAAATAAGTGCAATGTACTCTAACAGTGGTTGCGGTCATATTGTATATTTACTAAGGGTACAATTATTGGAGAGCATACACAGTACCGTGTATTAGTCTTCAGGCATATGACAACTTGTGTCGGCTGGACTGCAACAAGTGTACTGCCGTAAATACGCCAGCGTAGTGCTGAATACAGACAGTCCCCGACTTACGACGGTCCGACTTACGATATTTCGATCTTACGATACGACAAAAATTGAAAAATATTAAAAATTTCGCGCGGCAGGCAAACGCAGCAGCGTACGAGGTGCGATACTGTACGTTGTTTTTTTTTGTTTTATAGCAGATCGGATTGTTTCTTGAAAAAAAAACCGTTCTATTAAATTGCAGTTCATATAGGTAGGCTAAGGATTTACCTTGTTTTTATTTCTACTTTACATTTTACTGTGCAATACAGTATTGTAATTAATAAATACATACAGTATATAGTTGATACAGTACGGTACTGTAAATTGCTCTGTTTTGCTAAATTATCACCGTTCTTTAAGACTCCTGGGTAGGCTAGGGCCATCTTCGACTTACGATATTTTTTTACTTACGTTGGGGTCGTCGTAACGCATCTCCATCGTAAGTAGAGGACTGACCCTGTATTCGAAAAGGAATCGTCAAAATGTGTTCCGCTAAAGCCACAGTAACGTAAAAAGGCGCACGCGCACGTGTTTCGCAAAGCTGCACAAACTGTTAACGAGAAACGCTTTCACTGCGAATTAATGCACATTCCCTGCTTACACGCTCCTTCCAAAGCACTTACAAAAGTGAATGGAGCCATGTGTAACGCCACTTGGCTTCGTGGCGGTGCTGCTCTGCATATCGGGGCCCCCCCCCATCACTTGGGAGCGACAAAAATAACCTCGACTTTGTTTGTCCTCCCGAAATAGCTAAACAATTGTGATCGATTAAATATACATGGTCCCGTGTGGTTTGCGTTACTTCTATGTGCGGTATTCTTGTGGGTAAGTGAAGGTTGCGTTATCGGAAAACAATCGTGGTGGTTTGGACAAATAATGCGCTGCGTTTAACGTGTCTCCAGTTCTTCTCGCCGTATTATACCGGATTACAATGCCCAAATACCTCGAGAGCATGGGCCAAACTTAACTTGACAAAATGGTCAACGCTTAGAAAACGCTGAATAATAATTACGAATTGCAATTTAATGGAATAATGTCTTGATTTTGGGGGCTAGTTGCACTGTGCATACGTTTACGCGAGTAATTGCTCATATTTTGCAAAAACGCATTGTTTTCTCGAGAATATTTTGTTAAGCTCTTCAAACCCACGTCCCCAGTGGCGGAGTGTGATAATTTGTTTTCTTTGATGGTGCTGTAGCTTTTGTGAGTGAGTGCCCCGTCAATAGAGATTACGTGAAATGAAAGGGGGCTGTGGGACAACTAAATCGCCCCCCCCCCCCAAAGAAACCGTGGTAGTGTAGATAGCAAGGTGGTTTATTATGCAACTGAGATGCGTCGATGGGTATAAATTAATGCAAATAAGACACGGGGGGAGCAAAATAGGAAAACAATGGTCGGGTTACTTGCTTCCGGGGTTGTAAGGCAAATAGAACGCAAATGCACGAATTTTTTTTTCGTGGCAAAAAAAAGGATTACAGCAGTGTCTTTGTTGTACATACATAGACTTTTCCCTCCCGCCCTCCCCCCGTCAAATGTGAGTTAATTAAATTTCAAAAGGTAGCTACATGTATTTTCTTTCTCTCTCTCCTAAAATATGCGCATTTAATTTTCTCGTGTGACCTTTTTGAAAAACATTTGCACGTGGAAAGTGGCTCGATTAGGTGCCTACATCAACACGAGTATTCGTCTCGTTGTTTCCATGGCTAAAGAAGTGAAAGCAAGAAGTAAAAACTAAACGCATTGGCCATTATTTCAGAAATTACGAAGCACCGTCATTTGACACTCACGAGTATTGTCGGAAAAATGTAACCTACCTTTTTACTAATTGCACCCACTTGATAAACTATGGTGAATTAACATAGTGCTATATTTAACTATTGTTTCACTGTTTTAGGCGTAGCTGATGACTGAAAGGAAGCACATGAAAGCGCCATACACTTCAATACTTACATAATATTTTTCAGAATGTATTGTCCTCCGTGTCAATCCACTGCTAGATGAAGGCCTCCCCTATGCCCTTGTCAGTCATGTGGTTGTTTGACCATACTGCACCCAACTGATCAGTGCAGGTTGGTGAACATTGGGGGGAGGGGATGGTGCCCAGGACCGGGTTGAGACATCACTCGCTTCCAATTTTATTTTTGTTTGAAATCGAACCGAGGTGAACCGGGTTCATAGTGTAAGGCACTAGCCACTATGCCACTACTCCCAAACTAATATAACATATTTTTCATGTATATTTTACTAATGGCCAATTGGCCATTTGTATTTTTAGTAAAAAAAATACAGATTAAAGTCGTGAAAAAAAGTTTAAAATAACTCAATAACACCATGGTGTTATTAAAAAAATGTGTAACAGAATATTTCAATAGTATCGCAATGTGCCTAAACATACATTGCTTCTACAGTGTGGTTAAAACTTGCTTGCCAAGCTGTGACAGTGGGTAAAGTTGAATCAGTATCTGAATATTATAAAGTCTTCAACATGTTGCAAATGATAAAAACTAAATTTAGTTTAAATATTTAAAAAAATTTCCCCATTACTGTTGCCCGATTATGAGCTACAAGATTTTTTTGCAGCCAGGTCCAAAGTGCAAATGCGGTTCGGCAGGCAGGGTTTAATGCTGGGGCGAGTTGCATATGTAATAAATTGCTTTTTTTTCTGAAGCCTCGTTCTGCCGGGCTGTATCTCTGACATTCCTGCTGGCAGACAATGACAGGAGTTAATGGTGAACGATGTAAATTGAGGCGATGGGCCCTCTGTTGCGCCTAGCTTCATTCGGGCCCCGCTGATTGTACAACTGGCAGGCGGCTGACTCCTCGCCTCTCGCCTGCTTGTTCTGGAAATTACACGCTACATAACTGCAGATTAAGGAGCGAGCGAAATGGCATAATTTTAATTTTACACGGCGACCCCGGGGCCATTTAATTTTCCATTTAATTTTTCTCGCCCTTTGTTTGCCTTCGCGCGGTCATTATGGCGGCAAGATTTTTACAAAGCGTTTTAAACTTTGCATACCCGTGGCGGTAATTAAATTTCTGGAAATGACTGCGCGCTTCCTGTGAATGCTTGGCTGTCAGCTCAATGGCAGGCGGGTGGTGTGTTAGGAACATGCAAGAGACGCACACAGTGGTTCCGTGCAGATAGAGATCCCAGCCAGCCCGCTACCCCACGCAGTCTGGCCCCCACGCCTAAGAGTGATGCTGTTTACCTGGGGATTTCTTGCAGAACCCTGGATGGAGATGGACGCAGAGGGCTCCCTTGACCATATGCGCAACTCAGGTGAGTTTAGAGCTTTAGATGGGAGTGATTTGTTACTCAGTGCCAACACAACCTCAGATTCGAGAATAATTCAATGTACTTTTCCTAAGGGCTAGCTAAAGTGTAAAATGAAAACACGATTTAGGCATCACTAGACCGCAAGACAATGTGTGTGATCTATTTCACGTGTCATCTTAGAAGGCTTGAATTTGACCAACTTGACAAGTTTTATTTGACATCCAGATTTTGAGAAGGTATGTTAAAACTGCCATGCTGCATAACACTAACAGGTATCAACTGCTGAGCTGTTTTCTTTTCATCTGTTGAAGTGCATTACAGTCAAAAGAAGGATTTATTTTAAAGTGAGAAATCTACATTTGAATTGATGTCGAACGAAGGTAACGAATTACGTTAAATTCATAGTTATACGTTCAGATGAGACTGTACAAATATTGCATGTCTCTTTGAATGGAGTGGGATATGGTGTATGGTTCTAAGAAATGGTTATAATGGGACGTTTAAGTGTCCCATGGCGGTAACATGAGTGAAGTGAGAAAGATCGCTGAACGTATATTAAAGGAACGCAGTATGTCAAATAGCATTTTTTGATGTTTTTCAGGTCGTTTTGACCTATGTCCAAACATACGGTACATGTTTAATATAATTGTGCTCAGGAAAAGTACAATTCATCATGTTTTACGTTAGTACTGAACTGTCATCATAACATTGGTTATAAGAAATAATATAAATACTTGGTGGTTTTTGTGAGTACAGTATTGATATGGCAAAGGCTCATACCAATACGGAAATAATTTGTCTTTACTTAGCTGTTTTTTTTTATTGGTGTTTTGTATGATAACATAACTTTGATATTTTCTGCACACCTTAATGATGCTCCGAAATGCATTAATGCTAACATATTTTTAACACATAGCTGCCTTTTAACTTGTGTTGACGATCGGAAAATATAAGTTGTGTTTGTTATGTTTCCTCATAGCGCTGTCACAATCAAGTGCACGCTTCAGGAAACGATATTCAAAACTCTCACGGTTACTTTCCCAATGGTCTGCACCGGTAGTAGTGCAGCAGCAACGGTGGCAGTAGTATGCAATATCAGTAAGTAACATAGCTCCTCAGGACTGAAACTCGTAAACATTTGCTTTAAGAAGGCTCAAGCCTCCACGCCGTAGCCGCCTGCCATGTGGTCTGACGCACGCCGGCACCGCCGCCAAGAGGCCCTGTGCCCAATCGCTTGGGTGAGGGGGGCAGCCCCCGGGGGCAGCTGTGACCGGTACGTTTCAGGGAGTCCCACGTGAGTCACCGACTCTTCTTGGTAAATGTCGTGGCAAAAGTGTGTGTGTGTGCGTGCACGAGCTTACTGTGTGGGAAGCTTTTTTAGTGGGATATTCAGAAGCTGGCCATTGGCGGTTTGCATTTGGAGGGAAATTGAGCAATTATGAAAAACAAATACCGTACGTTAATGTCTCGCCATTTTGTGAGATATGCATGTCTTCTTAATAATGGCATTACAATATGTTGTAGAATAATGCTATCTTATTTCATAGGATTGTAAATGTGCTGGCATTTTGTTACTTCCGAGTTCTATTCGGAATTTGGAAGTGCACTTATTTTGAAAAAGTTATGAACAGTTATTTTGTTACTGTTTATCTTAATTAAAAAATAGTTTTTCTTAGAATATCAAAGTGAGGCTAATGACCATAACACACATTGCATTAAATTAATGGTGTTAAAATTCGTGAAAAAAACATTCAAAGGGACTAGATATGTCACACAATGTGTCAGGTTAAGTGTCTCTGTTATCGTCCATTTAAATTACATTGACAGACCAAACATAATTACTGCACTTATAAAACATACTAATTAGGTGAAAATGTAGGACTTTGGATGTATTGTAAAAAATCATATTTTGAGAGTGTCAACCTCCTGGGAGCATCTGGTACAATTCAAATAATTTGATTGTGGCATTGTCTGAAATTACCTGTTTTTTTTACATCGTTGTACTCGGATACAGCATATTATAGTCCTACTAGTTCATAAAGTCTTTCTTCGCCAGGCAAAGATTTTCCATAAGTAAAATAATTAACCTAATATGATTTTTTTCAATTTGTATCTACGATCAGACACTAACAACTAATCAAAAAAAAAATAATTGTTGACGACTTGATTCAACTTCTTATATTTAAAGACGGACTCATCGGAAACCGCTCGATTTAAAGATTCTGTTCTTTTTTAATTAAAAAGATAAAAATGTATGAACTTAATATTCTTAAGAGGGGAAGCTCCTATCTATTACCATTTTCGAATTATTCAGATTTGAACACCGTAAAATGCATATTTTTTCGTTCAAAACCACTCCAATTCGAAATATCTCAAAAACAATAGATAGAACAATGGTTCTTGCTTACATTTTATATGCTGTTTAACGCTCTACCAAATGAACGGTCTATGAATGACACGCACAAACATGTTTATGGGGCATTTAAAATTGAGATTTTAGGGCCTTTAAATGTAACTCGGATTTTCAGATTTTCGTCATTAAAGCTACCTAATTACCAAATGTTAGCTTTCTACCTTGTCGGGAAGTATCCTATAGGTTTTTGAGACATATAGGTGAAGGTTTTTATTCATATAGATAGATATGTAAATATTTTTCAGATTCCTTAGCAGCATACATTTTTGGTTTGCATTTGTATGAAAAAAAGATAGCTTCGTAAACTGAGTGCATCACAAATATGTTTGAAGGTATTTTTCATGTGTTTGTATGAGTGACCTTAGAAGGCTGCCTCAATATTGAGTTATGTGGGAATGTCAAATGTCCTGCAGCACTTCTTGCCTGATATGTTTTCTGTACCATACTAAGGCTTCATGTCAATTTGAATGGACTCGATTTTTATGTAAATTTACCAGAAAATGTTTACGTTAGTGTCACTCATAGCAACATGTATCCTGTCATTTAAGACATTGTTGCAGTTTGTTTTCTTTTGTGTGTAAATTCTCTATATAGTACAGTAAATATGAGGCAGTGAAAACATTTTGAAAACATAGTACTGGACTGCATTAAATCTATGCACAAATTACAACTTTAAATTTTGTTGAAAATGTATGTCTGTTGAAGTTCTTTCACACCATACGTAGCCAACGGTGCTAATCGGAGGTGCGGGGGCGGGGGAAGAACAACAAACTAAACACAAAAAAGCAGTTCAAAAGAAATTAGTTTTCAAATCTAGATTTAAAAGTGCATAGCTCCAGTGGCTTCCTAATATCAGAAGGAAGAGTGTTCCAAACGGCCGCATGATTAATATAGCCTAACACTGAGTGAGTGTGATATGTTTTAGTGTTGTATATTTGTTTATCTCGTTGCATAAGCCACTGTTAAAGGAGAATGTAAAAAAAAGACAAATCTGCATTACCATTAGTGCACACGAAACAAACGAAACCCACATCACAACTATCATGAAGACTGCCTTGTAACAAAGTACATAATAGATAAAAAATTACTGGCAAGGGTCATTCTATTGCGCTTAAGAAGGGCCTCCCAAAAACGATTACTTTCCGAGATGTTCTGTTTCAGCATAAGGCAGCGTTAACAAGTGGTGTTGCGGTGCTTTCGGTTTTTGAAAAGGTAACAATTACACTTCAATTGTGTTAGGCATACTGTATGTTCTTTGCTGGTAAGTTATAATGTAAAAAAGTTAACCTTGTGAATTTTCATTTACGGCAGAGCACAGCACTGGAATGTCGGGGTGTGGGTGCTTTACAGTGGTCTATATAAACAATTTAACAAAACATCATTACAGTATTGTATCAGAACTTAAAATTCACCTCATCCGCCACATTTTCTAGATGTATCTGCCCAGCTCAGTGGAACATGACAGAAGCAAACAAGCCAGTTTGATCATTAGCTCACTACATTGAAATATGATATGCAGTAATTTAAGGAATTTTACAGTACATCCGAAGGTAAGACCAATGTGAAGGTGCAAAACTGGTTCAATCACATTTTACACTCTTGTACATTGCCCGTCACACCCAATGTCATCGGGGCCCTTTGCTCCGAAGTGTGAATAGCCGTTCGCAGTTGAATTCAGTATTTTCAACGTTTTGTATGTACGTGTGTGTATAGACTACGAAAAAAAGTTATAAAAGTGATTCTTTTCCCCTCTAAACACCTCGTTTCAATGTGCATTAAATATCCATATGTTCAATTGTGTTGAGTGTTCTAAATGTATACATGTATTTCCAGGCAAAATGGAAAAAGGGTAGCTTGAATTGATTTTAACATTTGAGCTGTCAGTTGTTATCAGTTGAATGAAATGTTATTGTACTTGAGAGTGATTAACTGGTGTTTAGAGTGCTTGACCCATGGAAGCGCTGGCATTATTTTAATGCTTTACAGTTGTTAATTTCTATGTGACTGAGCTCACTAATTGGAGGAGAGAAGGTGTAAAATACCAAAATACAACCTTAATATGTGATTTTCGGCTCTTTAAAATGTAATGTTAAATATAATTTAATATATTAACCTTACATATGCTCCTATGGTTCTTTCGGTAAAGTCACGTAGATAGGGAAATAAAATTATAATAATAAAATAAAGGGAATACATTTTTTAAAATATGACGTTTCGATCGCGACACAAGCGGTCGTCATCAGGAACAGGGCTTTACAATGATTGCTGAGTTTAAAACCGTCGTCTCGGTTGAAATTGTGTCTGTGTCTGTATATATGGATGGCTTCGTGAACGAATGTTTGTTGATAGCCAGTCGGCTTGCAAAGTACCATCATCTTAGAGAAATTAATTTCATGTGAGCCGGCCGCATTCAAGTAATGATCAGCCATGGCAGAAGTATTGGTCCTGCCGTGTTTCAGATCTGCCTTTTGTTCACGAACACGGTCTGAGACATGTCGTTTGGTTTCCCCAATGTAACTGCTGCCGCAGATACAGCTTAGTTTGTAGACGCCGAGATATTACATGTCAGGAATACATATTTACAGATACAAATTTCAACCGAGACGACGGTTTTAAACTCAGCAATCATTGAAAAGCCCTGTTCCTGATGACGACCTCTTGTGTTGCGATTGAAAAGTCATGATATTTTATTTTTTTTAATCCATTTTCTTTCCTATCTACGTGACTTTACCGAAAGAACCATAGAATATACCTTCATCATAGTTATAGTACATCCAATTATAGCTGAGTACTCTATAGTGTACACAATTATCACTTGCATATTTATGATGTCTAATACCTTCTACACAATTACTACGAATAACTTGTACGATTTATTACTGGCAGGGTGATAAATAATATTCTTCAGAGATTCCAAGATAAGTTAAAATTATAATTAAAAACTAATGTTGCAGTGTGCATTGGAATACAATTCAACAGTTCTATTGGCACACTATCTTGTTTACGTTTCTATAAAAATGAAAAGCCTCATTTATGTAAATATGATTTATTTCACTTTCAATTTTTATCACAAGTGTAATGAGGAATGACTGAACTTGGCATCAGTAGTCGCAAGTGTTATTATATACGCAATAAATACAGACATTTTGTGCACTTTTTGGAACAATACCTATTTTATACATTTTTTTTTACAATTATGATGTTACATTTTTCATGGGACGTGCAATATCAAACTAAGATTATTCACATACACCCACAAACAACACACCGATTATGAAGATTGTTTTTTGTATTTAACTTAATATTTTGTCCTTACTCTCACGGTGATATATTCTGGTGTAAACCTTACTTTCGCAACAACATTTCTGCTTTAAGTTTGCATCACTATCACTCAATGAAGCCAATTAAATTCAAACCAGTGCTACGTATTAACTAAAAAATATAATTTTCACAACTTGTGTGAAATATTTATTTACACCGTAATGCCCAACGATAACTTCAACATCAAACCTCAGCCACATCGGCAGGAATTAATATGCACGTAATGATGTTTTACACGTAGGCTTTCACAACCAATATTGTTGATGAAGGTTTTTTGGGTTTCTGGTCTTAAGCACACGCACCTCTCATTCGAAAGAAAATGTAAACCACGCAACAAAGTTCAGGGAACCAAAGCTGAGAGAGGAGGGCTCATGTGTTTGCGCTCTGCCTGCCGCAGCCAGCCCCGTCAAGGCGGAAGGCGATGGTGGCGGTGTGCTGCCAGCCGACTGCCCCGGCTTGCTTGGCTCCGTTGGCATCGGTGACGACGAGAGCCCCTTCGAGGAGTTCCCCACCGTGCCGATGGCTCGCGGTGGAAGCCCACTCGGCACGCCGACGGAGATGGACGATTGCGCCAGAGACGAGGAGATGTCCTGCTCTGGGGGGATCCGACTGCCCAATGGGAAGTTGAAGTGCGACATCTGCGGCATGGTCTGCATCGGACCCAACGTCCTCATGGTGCACAAACGCAGCCACACAGGTAAGTCACCCGCAACGGCGCTGGCTACCAAGATTAATTAATGATAAATTGTAGGCGGTGATGTATCATAATGATCCTCAATATGGCACGTGGTGTGGCGGTGTAATGTTCAATAATTTTTCGGTGTAATGCTGCTTAAGTATAGTATACCCCTGTGCTCCCCTATAGACGACACGGCACTTATGTATATTACCACGACGGAAACACAGCATTTCATTTTGTCTACACTGTCGTTGATATCTGTAAAGGTTAGAAGCTAAGTCTACAATAATGGTTTGCATACAATGGCTTATCTAGCTTAACCAATGTATGTAAACATGTATGTGAACATAACACTGTAGCTTAAATAGTGGTTATTTCATCAATGTTAAATGTACTTTCTAAACCTATAATACTGGAACACAAAACATACCATTTGTTATGAATGATTTGGGCGATGTAGCTCTCTGTTGCACGTGAATGGCACGTTCTCTTGCGCATGTGCACGTGGGGTGCAAACGCTGTTGTAGGACGTAATTGTGTGACATTCTGGCCACGCATCTCTTCATTTAGAGACATTATTGACATGGCTTCAGGAGCACTTTGCTTCCACTTTGCGCCAAAACAGGGGAGATCAACTTTTAGGAAGCCAGCATATGTAATGATTCCAATCAGATGATACAAACGTCTTTGTTTTTGAAAGGTTTATGTACCAGCATCTACTGATAGAGCTCATTTAAACCACAGTAACATTTGAATAATACATCTGGCTGTGCCAACTTCAACTACAGGGAATTGATTGTTTAACGTTAATTTAATTTGCGTGCAGTATTGTCTAATTATCATTTCACGTGGTTGTTTTTTTTGCTTTGATTTTTCATTGCTGCACTTTTTATGTTTTGCTTTAGTTATTTTGGTGACCCAGGCCTTTCTTGCAAATGAGACTATCCTGATCTCTTGACTTCTCAACCGATTAAACAAATAAACGTGTGCTTGCCTCGTAGATTAAATGCTAATAATGTCTTACATTAGTCAAAATTGCAAGCTAAATACGTTGGAAAATCCAAGAGGTTATTTTATCTTGTAAGTATGATACACACTGCAAATTACAACTCGCGCAAAGTGCATAGCTAGAAGATACTGCGGATATACTGTATTTACGGAAAAGTTATACTGTGTAACAAAAGAGAAATATGTACGTGAAATATGAAGTTAATTTACACGCATACTTACGTATTAAACTGGTGGAATTGTCCTCATGTAATATTATGTTATATCCGAAATGTAGAAACGTAAGCGTAATAATGTCCTGTGCTTTGTAAACTCGTGTTAATCTATTAAACGTTCACCAATTATCGAGGCAAAATGAAGGACGGAAGACCGAAGTGCAATATCCAGTTATTGCAATGATGCCGGGTTTTTTTTTGCTTGAGATAAACTAATTGGTGTATAAATAAAAGAGGCTCTGTTCGGTTGGCCAATCCGAAATCATTGCTTTCCACTGCGTTACCTATGCCCGCCACTGCTTTGTTTTTCCTGCGGCTCCAGGCGAGCGGCCTTTTCACTGCAACCAGTGCGGAGCGTCGTTCACCCAGAAGGGCAACCTACTGCGCCACGTCAAGCTGCACACGGGAGAGAAGCCTTACAAGTGCCACCTGTGCAGCTATGCATGCCGGCGGAGGGATGCCCTCACCGGTCACCTCCGCACCCACTCAGGCACGCGCGTCACACACATACACACACACACCACCACCCAACCCCCAGAACCAGCGGCGGGAGCGCACGGCGCTGGACCCAACGACAGCGCCGATGCGTTTTACACAACACGTCATCGAGTCGCAGGCGGACGGCGCTAGCCCCCGATGGCAGCGCCGACGTGTCTCGTGCGCGAAAGATTATCGCTCCTGTTCGCTGTTAGAAGCTTGCATGACATACGAGTCTTAGGCAACCCTGTAAGACAATTAATTACTAAATATTTAGCCAATTGGGAGGAAATAAAGGACTAGCCTAGAGGCTCATTTTCTTGAACTTTGTCAATTTTGCATTTGCATTCAATTTACAATTGGTATAATATTCGACACTTCATCCTGATTCTATAAATCCTGGTATTTTGTGTGTGTGTGTATTGGTATCATTATAATGTTAATATGTTAAATCTCTGAACAGGTCTGGTGGATGTTTGAATGGGCGCAATGTTAGTTGAACCTATTATATTCAGTTATCACATTGACAACGTTTGCAGTGGTGCACCACTGTTTCATGAAGATTGCCAGACAAAATTTCAGCTGTGCTCGCTCACAGTGACTGTCGGTAGAAGGGTAGCCAAGGGCAGGCACATGGAAGCCATGCCCAAACACTGGTGCCATTGCTCCCAGGAACCCCCTACTACTCACTGTGTGTTTGTAATCATGCATTTGTCAATGAAAGTGAGTGGCTATGTGTAATAGTGCAAGTCTTTTTTATTTGTATGTATTCAAATGTATATCATTATGTGTTTATATTCAGCAATCATCATCAGCCATGTTCTATTTACTTTTGGATGAAGGCCACCTCAAGATGTCACTATCTATTATGGTTCTGCTTTTAGAACAGTCTAGTTCCTGCACACGAGTTGATATCATCCTTCTGTCCGGACGTGCTCTCAGACATATCCCCTCACTTGACTGAAACTCTGTTGTCCGTCTCGAACACCGACCGTCATCCTTCATAGCAACGTATCACACGCAAATCCGCTTCAAAGTCAACTTCATGTCTTAAAATTGCATATGTTCTCTAATCCATGTCCTAATATTCCTGTCTCAGTGTAGTTCTAGGCATGTGCTTCTTCATGTTTTTTTAGAGACTTTTTATGTCATTGCAGGTCAAATACACTGATTAAAATCCATCTTGTTTAGGCACATTGGTATATTAATTTTCATGAAGATCCGTGTTTCAAAAGCACTCCAACCACCTCTCACCTGCCTGTAAATATTTTTTATTTATTTATTTTTGCCCAGTTTGCCAGAAATAACTGCCCTTTGTATGTGTACACCACTGCATTTTTTTCCCGTTGTGTCTCTAACAGATATCTTTAATTTACATTCCTCTTCAGTGATATGTACATTGATTATACTGTATATCTCATTACATTATACATTCATATTTTATAATATTTCCGCCTTAAAAAATGTAAATGTGGTCATGTATTCAGAAAAAACACGTCTTCTCATGTTGTTCTGAAGGTTATTTTATAGTATTTATTCCTAACCTATGTATGATCTGCAGCAGATCATTTGGGCACTTCATAAAACAAAATCTAGATATGTATCAAACATAGTGCTCCAAGTTATATATATGTGTTAAATATACGTTTTTTAAAGTTAGTTTTCCCAATGGACACAGCAGCTTTCGCTGCTCTAATAATCACCAATTGGTATTTGTTGTATCGCTTGCTGGCATCAATATTGCTTAGTATTTGTAATTTCATTAAATGCATCCATAATATAATTTTTGTTTGGGTTAGATCGCATAAATATATAAATGTGTCGTTAAAACCCGCCACCACCCGACACACCGGTGTGCTGTACTAGTGAAGAATTGGCATGTTCTGTTTACATGACAACCCTTACTAGTTGGCCGTGTCGGGTGGTGGCGAGTTTTAACGACACATTTATATATTTACACGATGTAACCCAAAAACCCCCTATCATGGATGATATTGGTCGCGAAAGCCTACGTGTTAAACTGAATTAAATGCAGCTTTGTATGCATTTCCATTATATTGTACGATTCTAAATGGCAAATACCAAAACCAGGAGGCACCGTGAACCTGCAGGCAGCAACACAACAGCAATTGACACCAAACAGCACAAACATGTGGCTTTTGATTATAAATAATTATAATTGTAAAAACTTTGGCCCAGATTCACATAGTGACAAAGCACATTGACGTGTTTTCACCAAACATGAGAAAAAAAGAAACCTATTCCAAAATTTTAATCAAACCCTTATTGTCCTTTGACGCACAAAGATACAACTAAAAAAATGTCGTACACGCCATCAATGGCAACCATTCCAACACCTCCAATTCGCACATTTGGCTATGTACGGTGCAAAACAAGTTCAACATACATATACACATATGCACACCCAAGCATACAAAGACAAATACCCCCAATATATCCTTTAACAGACTGTTGGAGCAAGTGCTGTTAGCGAGCATCTATGAAGGCCAACAAGGCACATGAGAGGGTGGGTGGCTAGTAACACGCCTGGCAGGCTTTGTCTCCATAGTGGCGATGTTTATACACCACACCAGGGTACTAATTTGAGGCTGAATCACCTTAGGGGAGGCCCAGAACTGGTTCAGATTATCGTCACTGGTGTTGTCCGTGAGCGGGAATTGAACTTGGGTCGCTGTGTTCGTTCCCAATCCCCACACAGCCAAGCATACACATGCATGTACGACTGAAGGCAACGTTACTCGCTACTTCTAGTATGCAGGAGTTAAATACAAGCAGCTCAATTGCCGTTCGTGATTATATATTTTGCAGGGGAACAATGGAATTGGGGGTTTAGAAGGTTATTATTTTCTGAAGTAGTCTTCTGGAATACGATACTCCGCTCGTAATTGTAGTCAATGCAGGAGCCATTTATCATGTAAGAAAGGTCTTGGCGGGTTCTTATTAAATGGGAATGAGAGGGAATATTGCATTCATGGTGGGGAATACTGAGGACAAGATACAGAAATAGATATAATTAATGCGACGGTAGAGTATAATGAGTTACTTAACAATTTAATGGAATTCAAAGTTAGGGGGCAGATTAAGATTTTGAAAAGAAACACGAGAGAATGTTAATACAAAAAGATGCTCCATACAGCACTCTTCTATGACCACTTGTGATAACAAATGTACATGATTTTAACCAAGTTTATGTTTTATTGATGGATATAAACAGGAATTTTCCTAACCACACATTTAGAGCAATTTATGAAGCCACTTCTGGATAAAGGCCACTCCATACCATGATTAATGGAATTTATTTAACCATATTTCGCCACACTGGTTAATGTGGGTTGTCGAAGGGGTAGACCCAAGATCGATTCAGATATCAATCACCACTGATGTTAGCCATGTAAGGGAATCAAACTCAGGCCGATGGACTCATAGTTAGCATACTTCATACTGGTCAATGTGGGTTGTCAAAGGGTGAGACGCAAGATCGGTTCAGATATCAATAACCACTCATGTTAGCCATATAAGGAAATCAAACTCTAAGTTTCTCTACACAGTGCAGTGCCTTGCATCGCCACCTTGATAATAACAATATAGTAATTGTTTTGTTTTAATAATCCAAATTATTTAAAGCCTTAAGCCAATCCACTGCTCGATGAAGTACTTTACACTCAGGTTGTCACTGACCACTAATGTTGGCCACATCTTCACCAGGTTAAAAGCACAGTGAGCTAAGCACTGTGCGACCACTCCACCGGTCATTGTTAAGTTAAATTGAAATCTCCTGTAATAAGACAATTAGAATATAAACAAAAGTTTCGAAAACAACAAAATAATGTCATGCATGTCAGGATGGAAGCTTAAAATTAAGAACACAGGAGCTTGCAATACTGGATTTGATGAGTGTGGTTGGTTGCATATTTTACCCAAATATGTTTATAAAGTTTCGGAAAGTTCTGCTAAGTTTTTTGTTGGTATCTTCAGGGTTGTTTGGGTAACCCCACAATCCTTGGCTGTGGTACAATGCATGGACCTCTTCATTGGCTCCGATCACCTCTAATTGTATAACCATGCTTGTGTTTCCCCTTCTTCGTTGCTATTAAAGGTGTGTATGGATGTGCGCGCACCCTTCTCTCTCTGGTGAAATTAAGGGTGTGTGTTTGTGAGCATCTTTATTTTTCTTGTGCTGTTAATTGGGTGTGTGTGTGTGTACGCACCCTTCTTTCTCCGATGCTGTTAAGGGTGTGTGCGTATGCGCGCGCGCGCGCTTTTCTTAGTGGTGAGCTGGGTGCTCAATAGTGAGTGTAAGATTTGTGCCTTTAAATTTGGCCTTTTCCAAATACAAATTTTAATGTAAAAAAATATAGTTATCTTCAACAAATAAGTGGAAGAGTGCACATTTTTTTAAAATTGTGTAAAAAAATGTTTTTAAATAATACAAAAATGAGAGATTTGAAGCTTTCGTGACTGCAAGGATTCATACTCTTTGGTTTTATTCGGTAAAGTCACGTAGATAAAATAAAACAAAATAAAAGAAAATAATTAAATCACGACGTTTTGGAGGCAACACAAGCTTCCGTATTCAGGTGGAAAAGTCAACGCAGTCAACACAGAATATCTGTGTTAGGCTCCTAACACATATTCTGTGTTAGGCTCCTAACACAGATATTCTGCGTTGACTTTTCCACCTGAAGACGGAAGCTTGTGTTGCCTCCGAAACGTCGTGATTTAATTATTTTCTTTTATTGTTTTATTTTATCTACGTGACTTTACCGAATAAAACCAAAGAGTACAAAAATGAGAATTAAAGAAAATGAAGTAAATCTGAAATGTAAGTGCCACTTTGTGTGTTATTGCACTGTGTTCAATTACCTTAATTTAGATTTGGTTAATTGGCTCATCGTGGTATGGGCCGGGGAATCCTTGTTTTAAATCATTTAAATTACGTGATTTTATCTTTGTGGATGTCACTACCAGAATCAATATATAAATGTAATTGGTGTAGGCTTATAGACAGAGCAATCATTGATAATAAACAAATAATATTTCTTCTTTGCATCTCACTACCAGTATAACACGAAAATAATTAAATGTTCTATGCTATCACACTTAATAGATCAAGTTTTATTTCCCCCCCCCCCATCTTTAAACAAGTTTGCAGTTCCAATAAAGTGTTCTATTCAAAGTAAAAAAAAAGTGCGAGATGTGCTCAACCATATATTTAACACTGCTTAGATATAATATATGCATATATACCGTGTGTAGGCTACTGTTTCGCACACTTGCCATTGAGGCAATTTTTATTGGTGTTATGGTTCACATTCCACGACATCTGCTCAGGACTACTGCAGAAAACCATCAAACCATGCCACCTGATAACAAGAACATGTTAAATCTGCATGCATAAACCATTGCAGTCCTCTACCAAAGCTCAAATAACAAATATAAAATGTTTCAGCAAATAAAAAAAAATTATATGATATATCCCTCTGAAACATAGCTGCTGGAAGACTTATAATTGGCTTATTTCTGATGAGTTTTTTAAATATACCATGCATTGTATACTCACATGCAAGGACTTTGTACCTCCACTGGGAACATTTGCCGGCGATTCTGCCGTGGTGTAACAGTTAACACACTGGACGTGCAATGCAGAGGTCACCGGTTTGATCTCTGGGCGCAGCAGTTGAAACAATGGGCAAGTTATCTTAAATCCCCGCACACTGCCCACCGAGCAGTAGCTAAATGGATTCACCACAGTCAATTGGAAAGTCACGTACGGTGGGGGAAATAATGGGTACACCCACTTCTTTTGCAAGATGTATGGCCAGCAATGGTTGAGTCGGCCAAACACCATCTAAGAGCTCTCTTTAGTGGATGCCCTTCCGCTAGTCGCGGTGTAAACAAGCCAATTGCGGGGCTGTGCCTTTACCTTTTCTCCTTGTGTGTATATTCACACAATATTCACTTCATCACCATTTTTTACCTGTAAACCTTGTGCTACAGCAATATTCCACGTGTCAAAATGCGTGAAAATAATTACATTTGAGTGATTATACTCGGAAGCGCAATTGTGCGCACTTAAAATTGGACAATGGAATAATGTTGCTCTATTATTTGTTATCACGAGAAGAAGGAATTGATTGGGTTTCATAAATATGCAATGTGTTTGTTTTAGACAACCCTTAATTATGTTATGCTTTCAATGCCTCTTTAAAAAGAACACTACTCCCCAAAAATCAAGTGAGTTTTTTTATACAATTGCTTATTCAACAAAACTATGACTCTTTTCCAACACTAACAACAATATGAGTACGAGAAGCTGATTTGACAACGTTGAATGACTAGAACGGAACAACATTCACATTTGTAATATTCAAATGTTTTGGTCCTATAGAATAGCGTAAAACAAAATATATGGTCTGTCCTGCGAGATATATCATATGTTCAATGGACGAGCATTGGAAATACATACAAATGTTTTGCATATGTATTGTTTCATCTACCTACAGAGAACGTGCTTTCTTTATTACTATTTTACCAGAAATGTTCATCTGATGGGGTAATATACTGTACGTAGACATATATCGCACTCCAACTATTCACTCCTTAGCACATCGGTCTTGTAGTTCAAGATCACAATCAGTAAAATAAACTAAAATATCCCTTCACTATGAGACATCCCCCCCCACCCTGCCAAAAATAAGTTAAGAACACATCCATGTTTTTTTCTCTCCCTACCCAGCAGTGGATAGAACATGTCTGTTGATGATGGTGATGACGTATCACAGTAACCATAGCATCGGCTAAATTTCAGAACTATTTAACGGTACTGTGTACCAATCGAATTGGACGTCTGCCCTCCTGTTCTCCAAACCCACCGTGAACGACCTTAAAAAAAAAAGCTTGTGCTTGTTAACCGTGTCATTTCTGGCATGTGTCACATGTTCATATTCCTTGTGGAGTTTGAAAGATTTATTTGACATTTAAGCCTCAAGCATTTTAACCGACTCTTAAGAATGCTAAGTTTGCAGAATTGAGCATGTGAATGTCACGTTGCACTGTCGACATGGATGGACTAATATGACCATGGCCCACTTTTGTGAGACTCTTTGAAAATTTCTAACACCACATTTTTTTGGGAACACTAACGATTTTAAACTCTCAAAGGTGTATAATTAACATTGTGTTTAACATACGTATATCAACATCTTAAAATGTTGCGTTGAATGTGATTTTATTTTGCGTATATATGAAGAGATAGGAAACATATGCAGTACTTTTATTACCCAATTAACATAGCACTCCTCCAAATTCAGTTACGACAGTTCAATGTTATTTAGGTCAGCCTTTAATAAGAATTAAATTGCAAAAATATTAAGGTATCGAATTTCTTGTTGATTTGGACAATAAAGCTTCCCCTGTGTACGAATTATTGCGATACGCATTTATTTCTCATGCTGCCCTACAATGTTGCATTATTATCCTGTTGCATTATAGAATAGTTTCAGTTGTGGAGACACGTATGTTCTTCACTGTGAGTACCATTTGTCCAGGGGCGTGTTGTTTGCAAAGGGTACATTGTAATGTAGTAATGGTTAGCAGCCTGGACTTGCAATCGAGAGGTTGCTGGTGCAATCCACAGTTTGCCTGTTCAATCTGTCATTGTGTCAGATGAAACATTGAGCAAGTTTATAAAATGCCTCTGTCCACCCAGAAGTATAAATAAGTGCATCACAGTCCATCTGCAGGTCGCATGTAGTAAGGTGAGGATACAATACGCTTACTACTTCCAAGACGTCTGGCCAGCTTGCATTCCAAGGTAATAGAGACATGAGTGTTTACTGGTTAAACTGCCCATAAAAAAACCCCAACGCTTATGTATCGATTGTGTGTGCCGTACGTGTGCATACCACAGTTGGGAAGCCACACAAGTGCTGCTACTGTGGGCGGAGCTACAAGCAGAGGAGCTCACTGGAGGAGCACAAGGAGCGCTGCCACTCGTACCTACAGGGCCTGCAGGCCGGCCACTTCCCAGGCATGGGCTGTCACGCTCGTTCGCGCATGTATACACGGCACACATTCATTTGCACGAGAGGAAGAAGAGCCACATCCTTCTCTCGGTTGTAATTGCCATGGTAGACAAGGTAGAGAAGGTGACCCCCCCCCCCCAATAATTGCTAATTACTGACAGGGAACTGTGCAGGGTCATCACTGGACATCGTGGTTGCAAGGGACATGGATAAAATAAAACCTATGGATAATTGAATGATCTGTCATTCATGCACCTGCATTGCAAGAGAAACTAGCACTCAGCTTAAACATACAGGAAAACTTGTGTTCAATATGCACTCAGCTTTTGTGCATTGTGCAAAATCCAATATCAGTTCCTGAAGAACTGCATTGTGGTCCTCTTGTCTAAGGTCACTATCAAAATAAATTTGAGAAAACATGACCGACTGACAGCAGGGAGACAGAGAGACTAATATTTCCTGTTTATTTATGTTATGTGTTTTCTCATTATTTACAGATTAAAAACGAGGACTGTTGCATTATAAACATATGCAAAACATTTCGTACATGTCTTGTTTAGGTTAATGTTTATTATTCATCATCTTAATATCTATCAATCCACTCTTCACTATTAAGCAGTGAATACAGCATTTTTAAATTAGTGCCCTTGATGAGTATCTTTATTTAATGCTGTGTTTGTATATAATTAGTCACGACATTGTTGATTTTACTCTGCATGTATTTCACAAACTATTGGCAACAGAGTTTAAACGATGTTTAATTAGTTAATGCTCTTGTTAATATATCCACTAAATCCTAATCTTATAATTTGGCCTAGGTCATGAGCATGCAATCTTAAGCTTTGGCTGGCACTATTTTATACTATATGCTGACAATAGAATATTGACAGAAGCTTGTTTAAAATATGCAATAAAATGTAATAAACATTAATGTGCCTCTAAAACATCAACCATGCTCTTCAGCATTTCACAAACTGTACATTGTCGGAAATTCCCGACTGAAAATACCAATGCAATTTCAGACAATGGGAATCTTTCATGAATACACCTACATATACACCCACACAGTCTGATGCAAAATACATATGCACCACGTGAAATTGTACCAAAGCACTATTCTATGCACACATAGAAATACCACACACCATCACACAATCCAGTGCCCTGGTAAATATAAACGCATAGCCTTAGTCACAAATGTTCCCCAAGTAGAGGATTTTTTCCACTATTAATTCAGTTAGATATCTCGCCTTAATGGCAGTTTGTTAATGTGAAAAAACAGCATACCTTTCTTTCCTCCCATACAATACAATGTGCGTGTATTGTACATATCTTCTGAATGAAACCACATTTAAAGATACTCCAAAGAACATTGGGCATACATATTTATTTCACAGAGACAAAGAGACATAGGGAGACGGCAAAGAAAATAAGGTTTTGAATAGGGGCAGGGAGTTGGTGGCACGGCTGACTGGGGAAGGGAGTTGCAGATGGTGAGAATGGCAGAGAAGGAATGGGCAACATCCCACTGAGTTGATGGTTGACTGAGGGCTCCAACAGAAAGCCTTGACTGTGGGAGCAGAGATAATGTGTAGAGGAGTAGAGTGAGATGAGAGGGGAGAGGTAGGCAAAGGCCAAGTCTATGACTTTTTGCTATCTGGAAATCTATCTGATATTGGTTTCGAAGCCAGTCGAGGGATTGAAGTATTGGGGTGATGTTCTCTCATCTCATATGCACCTTGTTCCTGCTAATCTGGGCAAAAATTCACCACTACCTATATGTATACACACATATAAACAATGATTCACTTTGTTGTTTTCATCATTACACTCTTGATGATAATTCAGTTAGTAAGCTCCTGTGATGACAGACGCTTGTGTTGCGCCCGAAACGTCGTGATTTAATTTATTTTATGTTATACCTACGTGACTTTACCGAAAGAACCAAGGAGTAAGCTCCTGTTTTGACACGCGGGTCTGTGTGGAGGGATAGGAAAGTAATACGATTTTCCAGCCATCTTGTCTCACAATTACTCGTGTTCACGTGCGATGTAAGTCACCCATTTTAGATTATTCATCTGGTGGAGGTCCATGACTGGCTCAGATGTGAATTATAGTGCTACTTATGTGCTTAGTTTTACTGTAAATTATTGTTATTTACGATGAGACTGTGTCAGTAGGCACAATGCATTGTCCTCACAATAATGCGTAAATATATAAAACAAATGCTGTCTTCCTCTACATAATGCGATCGAAAAGAATAGTGGAAAAATAATTAAATGTCACACATGGACACTTTGTGTTTGTGAGTCTCCAGGCACCTGCAGCTTTTCTGATAACATAGATGTTCACATGTATTCTTGAGTCCTTATTTAAATAGTTAAGCCTGTATACCAAATCCTCAGCTGAAGACATCCCCTTACTCATAAAGTTAATGTTTATAAAGATGGTTATCTGAAAATCTGACTTTTTTTATACATCCACCTCTTAATTTTTAAAGAAACAGCAAAGCAGTGAAAATAAAACAGGCACTAACTTAGTGACTCGTGCTTGCGATTGCCACAATTAAACCCCAATACCTTGCTGATCTCGTCAAGGAGCATAAATCACCAGCCATTGAACAAGGACGGTCACTGCATCGCGCGCTTTCAGATGTGCTTCTGCACCCATCTGGAACGCTCTTACCTTCCGATATTAGGAAGCTACTAGAGCTATGCACTTTTCAATCTAGATTTAAAACTCATTTTTTTGTAACTGCTTTTTGTGTTAAGTTTGTTGTCCTTCCCCCGCATCTCCAAATGGCATGGTTGGCTACATACGGTGCGAAAGAAATTCAACATACATACTCGCAATAAAGAACCTGCAAACAGAAAACAGCGTCAGCTTTTTTAACCGTTTAAAGTGTTTTTATTATATTAAAATTCGTAATGAAAACACATCACATTGTATACCATATCTTGGCCAAATACAATTTCACTTTTAACCCCTCTAAATATTTTCCAGTATAAAACCAAATATATACTTACCATAATACATAAGAAAAAAATTAAGCTGTAAGCTTTTGAAATGAAACATATGAAGGTTATTTTGATTTAACTGACCGTAAATTCTTTATGACATTATTTTCATCAATATTAGAGGGTTTTTTATTTATTTAAAAACCTCTATCATGGATGATATTGGTCGCGAAAGCCTACGTGTTAAACATTATTTTCAATATTGCGCTATTGTGTGCTGGTGCCCCGTAGCTGAAATCAACCTGAATGATAAAACTTGCATAATTATTTATACTCTGCTGCAAATATGATGACCCTGCTTTTTTACTTGAGAAGGTAATCCATCTGATCAGACTCTCACTAAAATAAAATAAGTATAATGAATTATTACACGCACTCTATTTCATAGTAATTGGTGGACTATGCACACACCTTCATCCGGCGCCCCTGAATCCTGTAAACTAATGGCCACGAGAATGGCTGAACCCAACGTTTCACACATTGTTGCTTGCTGCGTGGAGCTACTGTCAATTCAAGAATTTTGACGCGATGCTGCACATCAGAAGCTTGGTGGCTGCAAACAGTTCATATGTAAATCTGAGTTAATTTATGAAACACTGCATATCTTTGTAAAATTGCTAATTACAAATTATTTTTCCATGTGACAATATGTTGCACCTTTCACTGTATCTGCAAGTCATATATAATATGGAAATTTGATTTAAAATGTAACTATGAATACAATGAAGAATAATTAAAGTCCTTAGCTGTTTCCAGAGGCGACTGTAAAACTGTTATTGCGTACTTTTGGCAATACGTGAATATGGAATAAAACCCTATAGTTTAAATATATGTAATGAGATCAATGCACGTGAAAATAAGTAAGTTGAGTGTCATTATGCACATGAGCAGTAATCTTTTGTGTACATTACATGTGCCTTGTAATTTCAGGTCATATCACTAACTTGGCAAAGTAATTTGCCCACGTTAAATCCAGCGTGAAATTCCAGAGCCAAAAGCTGCTGTGACAAAAGGAGAGAAATTACATCTACAATGTGACTTAAGACATTCTACCTTTAACATGCTGCCATGGTATCGTGGTCAGCGCACTGAACTTGCAAAGCACAGTGTACCGACTCGATTCAATCTCCCCCCCGCGGAGGATGAACCAATGGCCATATTTATTTAACCCTCACCTCTGTCCACACAGCAGAACAATAGGGTACAATCATAGTTGGTCGATCAGCAGGTCACGTGTGGTGGGGTAAAGTGTGGGCACTCCCATCCCTTTCCGCGTCTGCCCAGCGTGGTGGACAAATAGGCAGATGCCTACTTAGAAGAGCTTCTCTAGAGCTACTGTCTTATGGCCTATGAAGATCAACTTTTAGAGATTCAGTTAGAAGTGATTTAGCCATTCAGTTGCTTTGCTGGAGAGTTCCTTAATTTCAGACACAGGATACTGCATTTAAGTTTATGTTTTGGGCAGTGAAAAGTTACATGGTCTGTGGTTTGGAGTTCGCAGCTGGAGTCGCACACAGGAGAGAGTCTTTAATATTCTACGAGTCTATTAGGTATCCGCACCTTCCGTGGTTTGTGTGGATCTAGTTTAGCACTGCCCATTTATTTCGTGAATGATGGAAGCCGGTAGTCTAGTTGTGTCATGCAGCATTTGTGCCGTGGTTCTAACATGGCTTTCTGGATCTCAGCTGTAGACAGAGTAATTGCTGCTGAAGTTATGCACTCATTAAAAATAATATGTTTTACTTGGAGACAAGGCCATAATTATAATATATATTTGGGGGGACACATCCCTCCCAATATTCAAATATGCTCAAAATGTCCCCCCCAATATATTGCTATAAAATAGATTTCTCTTTATATGATTGTGGTTATGGTTGTATTTTATTAATCCCTAATCTTTGCCATTACATACAATGAAACAAGAAAAGGTAAAAAAGAAAAAAACAGAGCAATGTAATACAATACACTATTAGACATTATTGTAAAAAATAAATAAAAAGTCCATCCTATGTGTTAGTGAATTTTTTTATATTTTAGGCAGGAAATGGCAGGAAATGAGTTTTAAAATTTAGATTTTTTTTCTGGGGGGGGGGGCCCAGACCCCCTGGAAGATTTGGTCCCCCCCAATGTTGACTCCATGGCTACGGCCTTGCTTGGAGAGACAGATATACGAAGGAAACATTGTCTACTTATATATTTGGCAACCAATGTCTCACTCCGAATCAGTCAAGCGGCATTATATTTTCATCACCTACGATAACGCTGTGTGGAAGCTACATGGTCTATCACTCCATACGAAACTCCGGGGTTCTCAACCATAGTTATGCTCTCCCTTCTATGCACTGGTTTGAAACATCCAGAGTTTAACCAGACTGGATTGTGTGAGGAACTCACAGATCCTTGAAAGATCTGGACACAGTCCCATTACAAAGCTCCTCCGGCAAGCAAGGCTGCTTTGGCTGAGTCATGTAGTCCCCATGTCCAGCCACCACATGCCCACGCAGCCTCTGTTAGGCCAAATAGATGGGGCTAAACAGGCGTGGCACTGGCAAGTGAAGAGATTGACTGATGTGGAGTTGGTTGGACTTGCCGATAACTGGTACTAGCATTGTCAAGATTGGCCTCTGTGAAAGAGATTCGTGAATAATGCTATTGGGGAGTCGGAGGCAGTCGCCCTACAGTAACAACGGAGGGCAGAGGAGCGGCGCTCATAACAATGAGCAGAGTGCCAGGCGGCTAAAACCCAGAAAGCTGGCATAGTGGAGAGCACAGTTGTTGCATCTGAAAGTCATCTCAGTCAGTCAATCCACGACACCTGGGTCTGTTCAATGACCTCCTGCCAGTGGGTCTTCAATACTTCACGTGACCTCAAAGTGCACCTGGCATGGCATAAGCGTCGTGATGATGTCACCACTGAGTGAATGGCAGTTGTTATTTATTTTGTTATGCATATTAACAAAGATGATAATGATTGTGTTTTATGTATTATAGAATATTGTGTCCAACTAGGACCCATATCTTGCCTATAACATCTGACAGTTCGCCAATATTGATTGAGGAAGTCTGACTGGTGAGACCCGTGAATATAAAAAAACAGAGTTTGCTAATACTGAATCAATGCTGCTGAAATTATGCCCTGCCAGAAGGCTGTAGGGTTCATGTGTTGCACACAGAATATTATGTGGAGAGACATATGAAGGAGACATATTGTCTGCTTATCTATTTTAAACATGAAAGTAATTTTAAGCTGAAAAGTATGCCTCCAGTATTGTATATAGCTATGCCTGTATACTAATTTTTTTTTCTTTCATGTAGCTCTCTCAGGCGGTGGAGAAATCAAAGAGCCAGTGTATACAACTGATAAGAACCTGGACAGGTCAGTGCTGTTAAACCAGCTGGCGTACAATGTTGCCAAGAGAAAGAGCAGCGTGCCACAGAAATTTATCGGTAAGAATCATCATGTTCGTGCCGCTGTAGTGTAAATTATATGAAAAATAGCGCAATTTGTTCTTTTTGCATGATAGCCACAGGAGCTGAAACACAATTATTTGTAAGTGCTTTACCACTGTTTTTACATCGATGATTTAGTTGCATTTTATTCTGCGTGATGATACGTTAGTGCTATTTCCTAATTTGCCGAGCATCAAAAAGCACACTTCAAACACATGTTGCTGAAACCCCAGTGTTAGTGGCTGTATTACTGACATGACTCTATAGTGATAAGCCTGCTTATTTACTCACGTTCATCGTATAACCTTTTTTAATGGGTTTATATTGCACGTTACAACAAATGTAGAATTATAAAATTCAGAGTGTGACAGTTCGACATTTAAATTGACTGTGCACAGAATGCACTGGGCAAAGCATTGTGTCGCCTATGAACCCTCACATGTGCAATGCCTCTGCTACGAGCCTTAGATTGTCTCAGAGAAAACCACAAGAACCTCTTGCTCATTATTCTCTATACCTGCGACCCAACCTTCAGGTGACAGACAGCTTCCTCTTTCGATGCCACACCTGCAGTACGACATGAGCGCCGCCTTTGACAAGGACTCGCTGCTGATACAAACGCGCGTCATGGACCAAGCCATCAACAACGCCATTTCTTACCTCGGCGCCAAGACCCTGCGCCCCTTTGTGCAGCCTCCGGTGGGTGCGGTGTCAGACCTGCCCCACGCTGTCAGTGGGGTCTACCCCAACTTCTACACACTTCCCACAGCAGACATGAACCCCGCCAATGATAGAGCTCTCAACAGCTATGCGGGTGCAGGTCGCCCACCTAGCCTCCAGGTCAGAGAAAAACGTCCGGCGCCAGACCGTGCCACTTCGCCGAGCCACAGCTTGGAGGACAGCGCAGACGCCGAGAGCATTCCAGAGGAACACAACTCGACAGGACACCCGACAGACTACTCGTTGGCATCGCGTGAGAGGGGCGCGGAGGAAGCCAGCAAAACAGACTTCAAGGAGGCAATGGACGATGAGAAGGGCAGTGAAGACGGAAAGCCCCTGGATGATGGAAGGGTGCTAAATGGGCTGGCGGATCAAGACACATTCAGCGTAGTCAACAGTGACGGGGAGAAAATCCGGGCCTACAAGTGTCAGCACTGCCGTGTGCTTTTCCTTGACCACGTCATGTACACAATTCACATGGGATGTCACGGCTTTCGAGACCCATTTGAGTGTAATATGTGTGGCTATCACAGCCAGGACCGCTATGAGTTTTCTTCTCACATTGTGCGAGGGGAGCATTCTGTTTTATAGAAGAAGAAAAAAAGCTTTTTTTTTTTCAATGCACAAATTATTTTGCACAAGAATGGTTATACTGTATGTGCACGCCTGCAGTGCTTCCCACCTTTGAGGTGTGTGTCTCTATGTAGCCAGCTGGTGAATGAGTAGGGAAATGTGTACATTACCTTTGTATTAGACCAATGGTTGTTGCAACGCAAGACTCTTTTCACAGTGGTTATGGATCATTTTGCATCATATCTTTGACACCCATCTTCTTCTCGATGCAATGAGGATCGAGGTAAAACATACCTTTTAAAGTAATGTTAAACATATTGTATGCGGTTCTCATGCAAATTTGATCATAACACTGCTTGTCACATAAGCATAACTGTCAATGTAAAATAGCACGTAATCATAATTTTAAAACAGGAATTTTATTAAGTGTACATATTAAACTATTATATTAATTCATAGGGGTTGCATTTAATGGACAGTTATTTCGTTTTCTTTCTGGATACCTAACAGTAAGAGAGCCATCATTGATCCATTTATATTTCACAGCCTGTTTTATTTTTAAGGTTTCTGAAACTGCTTTTGTTTGAGCATTAATATGTAATTGCATGACTTTGTATTGTTTCCATACTTTTGATGTTAGAACATGGAACTCAGATGTGATATTTTGGTCCTCATTGTTCGGTTGTATTATCACTTTTGTAAATGTGTTCCATCTTGACTTAAAGCTTTCGTGACTGCAGGAATTCATATTATTTGGGTCTTTCTGTAAAGCCACGTAGAGAGAGCAAATAATAAAATAATTGTATTACTTGTTATTATTTGTTCTATCGACATGGCTTTACCGAAAGACCCAAATATAAATGTGTTCCATTATCGATGTCAATGTTGCATGCATTTTCTTTGAGATAATTTAAACTGGTTATGGCTGACAACACAGAAATAAAGTTTGCTTTACCAGTGAACTTTTTGTTAAATAACTTGCTCAGAACTGTTCGAATTTAAATGTATATATACAATACAGTAATAATCCTATCTGGATTTGACGTTTTCGTGACTGCAGGAATTCATACTCTTTGGTTATTTCGGTAAAGTCACGAAATAACCAAAGCGTATAGTAATGATACGACTATATATAGTGAGGTACATGGATGTACGTATTTATATATGTATACAGTGAAACTAATGTTTTGAAAACCTCTTGTGATGACCATTTATCAAGACTGGCATGCTGGTGTGTGTATAAAAAAAATACTTATGAGTTAGAATGAGAATCAGGTTGACATATAAAGCATGAAAACTGAGGTGTATTTTCATAAAGCCATGGAATATGCACATTGGCTTTATTCATCATATCCATATTCAGTATTGATATGTTATTAGGGGCTAACATTTTTACTAAAGTTTTTGACTTGCCTAATTGTAACCAAATTTTACAAATGTGTTGTTTTCTCTCTTATGAGCGAACTCTCATTGGCATCACTAAAAGACCATCCATTAATTCCCTGGTACAATTATTATTGTTAAACCTAAGATTGTAGCCAATGCATATGAAATGTACACTTCTGTATCAAAATTCTTCTGTCGTTTTAAGCGTGTTGCTGCCTCTTACAAGGTGGTCTAAAATGTGGTTTCGTGTATTGTATGCAGCACATCCGGTACTCATGACTGATTTTGATATAAAGCACAAGCTGCCCCTTAACCATAGCCAAGACCAAGCCCTCAATTTCTCAATAACTTCAAATGCCAATGCCAAACCAAAAGCGTAACCACCGTTCACACTTTCTTCCACTGTACCTAACCAATGTCTGTAAACTAACGCTTAGGCAGTTCAAAGCTAGGACATTAAAAGTATATGTTTGCATGACGTTTTCAGGGTTCCACATATGCAGTTTGTTGCGTTGGTCTGCCGATATTGCAGATACAGGAACGATTCATAGGAAAATAATTATTAATAAAAAAAAAAACCACACGACCATTGATATCTAGATAAAACACACTTGCAACATTGGATATATCAGTTCTTAGAGCAGGAGATAAAATTAACAACGTTTCATCAGACCATGAAAAATACTTTTATTACCTCTTAGGTGCATTACATGGTATGGAGGATGTTGACTTGAATATTTTGACAGGATTAAAAAATAATATTTTATACGATTGTGTGCAACATTTATCAAAATTTGTATGCCACACTAAACTCATGGCTGATGCATTTACAAACAAATTCAAGACTTACATTTACATTGTCTGATTTAATTATAGTATTGAGGGAATTTTGCACAGTAAGCTTTAATCGTGCTCATGACAGTTTTCCTTTTAAAGCCACCATTTTTTGCAAAAAGGTTATAAACAGCTTATTATTCGTCAATTTGCCATTAAACGCAGAAGCTGAAAATAGAAATAACGCTATTAACATTAATTTTTACATGAATGGAATAAGTTTAATAGTTTATGTTTAAAGGATCAATAACAATCATGTGACGCATAAAAAACATTAACGTATCTTCCGGGGCTTTACCCTATATATAAAAAAAAACTGTTCTATGAACTAAATGCAGACTTCCTGTTTAAATGAACTTTAGCTACATATTTAAGACTACATGTAATCTGTGAAGGAGATTTGCCATAATGGTTCATGTGAAAGGGTGACCACTATCACGATAAACAGGAATAAAGCAGTTCTCTAGCAATATGTGCATCAACTGTGTGAGAGCAATGTTTGCTTCAGAATGCTCTGCTCCAACAAATGGTGGTAAAGTCTCAAGTGCCCTGTGCTTTCAAATTCATATTTCCACAAGTGAATGTTGAAGTAGCCTCAATGGGGATGACCTAGAAACTAGTTATAGGCTCTACATTGTTTGAAAAGGTCTGGAGTTCACATCGTCTCGCTGTTATATGCAGCAAGATTGCATAGGATTTCACTCCCGTTAATATTTGAGTCCGTCGATCGGAAGCTGCAGAAATATCTGCATTTAACAAGATTTGATACGAGAGGCCGTTGTATACACACTGAATGGGGAACAAAAAAATATATACACGCAGATTTCTGCTTGTCCTTTAAGGGTGTTTGATTCATGCTCCAAAAGGAAATTAAGGGGGGGGGGGGGTGTTAAAGGAAGTTGCTGCTTCCGTAGCTTTCTGCTGCTGGCTGTGGTGGCGGCGAGTTATCGCTGTGCATCTGATGCCTGGGAGCCACGTGTGTACGCACGAGCGTTTAAGACACATTTATTGATAAACGTGCAGTTTGGGAAACACTTGTCTCGGAGTCCAATATTGTTGCTATATGAATTGAATGAAATAAATGTTTACAATTGAATTATTTTGGAACATGTGTCTAACAAGTTATTTGTTGTGCGGTATTTTGTAATTACGTGTCATATATACGGTACTTAGATTTGGTTACTTAAAAGAATGATGGTAACTGGACATGTTGATGTAGGTACAGTTTAAGTTTATTTGTTTTGGTATAGCCCTGTGAGCCATTCGGCTCTTGAATCGGGTGCAACCACAACAAACAATAAAACAAAAAAATAAGAAAACATCTTAAAGTGACTATGTGACTGTGCAAACAGAAAATCCATGAAAAAAACAGCAAAATATTCCTGAAAAAAAGCACCGTACACCAACGCTGTGTGCAAAAAATCCCAGTGGGATGCAAGTCAAACAACAACAACCACAAGAAAACTTAGATTTTGATTTAAAGCTTTCGTGACTGCAGTAATTCATATTCTTAGCTCTTTCGGTAAAGTCACGTTGAAGGGAAACAATAAAATAATAAAATATATATTATTGAAGGGAAACAATAAAATAATAAAATATATTATTTGATTGTTTCCCTTCAACGTGACTTTACCGAAAGAGTTAAGAATAAGAAAACTTAGATTAAGGCCGTCAGTCTAACTCCGTACTACAACAAAACAAACATGTCCAAACCAAAAAACGTTTTCGAAATCACCGAAAAATAAAGCCATAATTGCAACGTAACAGTGATCATAGGGACACAGTTTAGTTTTATTTTTTTTATTTTGGTATAGCCCTGTGAGCCATTCGGCTCTTGAATCGGGTGCAACCATAACGACATGTCTCTGACCGAATTCGCGAGCACAAATCAGATTTGAAACACGGCAGAACGAATTCTTCTGCCGTGGCTGATCACTGTTACAATGCTGTGGGTGATCACGATATAATTTTCTCCGATACCATGGTTCTTTGCAAACCCACGGGTTTTTATCAGAGATTTGTTCACGAGGCAATTCAGATCTACAAACACAGATACAATTTCAACCGAGAAGATGGTTTCAAATTAAGCAACCATTGGAAAGATGCTCTAAATTGAACCAAACATTAAACTAATTTTCAATGGTACAGTATATTTTTTCAAGTAGTGGTACCCCAAACTTTCGCAGCTCTTAAGGATTCCCTTTTCACACCATCAATGGGTAAGCTCCCCCTCCCCCCCCGCGCCAACCGGCATGTGCACCCGCATGTACACCACCTCTATGCTAAGTCGGCCAATCAAATGCTATTTTTTATGCTAATTCCTTTGTCAAGGCACCTTGTTTCCTCGCACACAGCTTAAAGGTCGCCGTCTGAGCGTGGCTGTGTTTCACTCCAGCGCTGTCCTCGAGACAGCCTGGTCCCTTCACCTGATGAAGGCCGCTTGTGTTGTGACCGAAACGTCGTGATTTTTGTTGTTTGATTTTTTACCTACGTGACTTTACCGAATAAAACTAAAGAGTATAAGAAAACATCTTAAAGTGACTATGTGACTGTGCAAACAGAAAATCCATGAAAAAATGGCAAAATATTCCTGAAAAAAGCACCGTACACCAACGCTGTGGGCAAAAAATCCCAGTGGGAATGCAAGTCAAACAACAACCACATGAAAACTTAGATTAAGGCCATCAGTCTAACTCCGCACTACAACAAAACAAACATGTCCAAACCAAAAAACGTTTTCGAAATCACCAAAAAATAAAGCCATAATTGCAACGTAACAGTGATCATAGGGACTGTGACCGATTTTTTTACAATAAACTACATAAATAACATGTAACACCAAAATCCTAGAGCCATAGCTGGCTGCATGAGTTACTCCACAACAATAGAAGCATCAGTCGGAGTATCAAATTTTTCAATGCACCTTTAAGATCAGCACACTAAATTAAAATACAGATAATACTTTGCAGCGTCATCCGGAGCGAAAACATTTTATTTTACGCCAATGGCATGTTTCCAACATGTTTCCAACTCACAGGTTACTGCAATATGTTTTCCATTGGAAACAAGATGTGCATGAACGGATGAACTCATCCGTCTGAACGGGGCTCGTAGCTATTCGTGGTGCTAAAGTTGAGGGTAAGAATCCACCCATTTTTTCGCCATATAGCATTGTGATATATAACGACGTATTGTTGGTAGCTTAGCTGATTGGAGAATATATAGAGTTTATTGATAACATTGAGGTAATTTATATTTTAGTTTTTTTATTGGTTTACTATATAGTATTCATTATATAGTGTAGTGTATACCCAGTTACTGTGAATAGCTCAGATGTGTAGGCTTTGACTTTAACATAGCCATTTCTGTGACCAGTCACAAGCTAATCACTCAGTTATTTCAATGCTAAATTCTCCTAGTTATTTCAATGCTAAATTCTACTGTTTGATTTGTACTAGGTGCCTCTGTGAATGTGTATGCTTTGACTTTAACATAGCCATTTCTGTGACCAGTCACAAGCTAATCACTCAGCTATTTCAATGCTAAATTCTATGCTAATTCCTTTGTCAAGGGGTGCCTCTGTGGATGTGTATGCTTTGACTTTAACATAGACATTTCTGTGACCAGTCACAAGCTAATGACTCAGCTATTTCAATGCTAAATTCTATGCTAATTCCTTTGTCAAGGCGCTTTGTTTCTTCTCACACAGCTTAAAGGTCGCGATCTGAGCGTGGCTTTGTTCGCTCTAGCGCTGTCCTCCAGACAGTCTCGTCCCTTTACCTGATGAAGGCCGCTTGTGTTGTGGCCGAAGCGTCGTGAGAATTTTATTGTGTTATTTTATTTTATCAATTTATTATTTTGTTCTCATTCTACGTGACTTTACCGAAAGAACCAAAGAAGATGAATCCTTGCAGTCACGAAAGCTTTAAATCGAAACTTTTAGAAATAATTTATACACACGGATAATACGTTAGTTAGTCTTCAAGTCGGTTTTATCACGGCATATTGAATAACGGGTTTATTGAGGCATTAAGCGGTGGCTGCGGTACATCTCTCCGTTCAAACATTTCACGAACCAACACGTTCGTATTGTTCCAGCAGTTGGTCGAGCCTCCTCGATCATATCCACAGTTATATCTGGTCTGGGAACTTTGCCCCTTTTTCACACTGTAAGGGGCAGAGTTCACTTCTTGTATGACATCTGCAACGTCCTCCTCTTCATCTCAGAGGCAGTCTGATTCTTGAACTACGTGCATTGCATTGCAAGAGATCTGTATGAAAATCCCTCCACTAATTTTAAGATTGTATTGTGAGTTAAGGTTCCCAACTTTCCTCCCAAGGGGTAATTTCCAATCATCGACCTTTTTGTTGTTATCATGTTTCCATTCGATTGCAATGATGTCTTCAATATTTTAATACATTTCATTTTTTGTACACGAACATGAAAAAAATCACCTCATACTCTTATTAAAATGTGTATTGTATATATAGATACAACAATATTCATCTAACTGTGTTTTATATATGACGTTTGTATTAACAGTCACAACTTAGATGGACTCGTTCATCTGAACAAACTGTCAAATCGCTATCCGTGGTGCTAACGTTAAAAAAACGCCATTTTTTTCAAATTTTCTTGTTGTGGTTTTCACACCTGATGATGATTGCTTGTGTTGCAGTCGTAACGTCGTAATAATTTTATTGTTTTATATTTGTATTTTTTTATTATGTTATTGTTT